AATTTGTGACTAAAACAATGAAAGAGTTATTGTTTTCTTTACTTGCTCCTTCTCCATAAGAATGACCAGCAGAGCAGGTTGAATGGGAATCGCGAGTGCATTTAATTCTCTATAGGCTACTTCCATTTTCAATGAGGATTTGGCTTTATTTTCTTGGAGCTTGTCTAATGACTCCTGGAATGGGCAATATGGGTGGAATTCAAGCTCATTCCAGTCATAGGTTAATGGGCAACAACCTCTTTCTTAACAGGATCATTCCTTAGAATAATCCTTGCTTCTTGTAGCCTCTACAAGAGGTTAAGTCTTCTTTGTTGGTTAAATCAGAATGATGGAAGGGTCCAGTGATAGAGGAAAAATGTCTACTCCAAAGATTTTCTTGATCTCTAAAATGTAAGTTTAATTTATATATATGTTTTATGCTCAGGCATTATTTTTCTAATTCTGGTCTGCAATATGATCTCTGGCTGGAAGGTTTCCCTAGTATATTTTCTTTGGCTAGCCAGCAACTTACTATGCAATATCTAGGGGCAAAATACTTTTCAATATGAGATTCTAAATCACATTTACACTTGTGTCCTTATTTCTAAATCTACGCACTTTTCCTCAGTGCTCCAAATGAAGTTTGTGATTTTCACTGGCCTGTTCTTCATCAAAGCAGCAGCTTCTATATAACAGAAGTCTATCATTTACATCTACTCCTCTACTCAAAAACCGTTGTTCTGACCAGACTCCACTGATGATTTCTGAGAAAGTGTCTATTCAATGCAGTAGAGGCTATTGACTCTGTGTTAGATGCAAACAATATCAAATTTAACAGATCAACAAATGGTACATCAATGTTATTGTTGCATAATAAAGACAAATCTAATTGTTACTAAAATGCTGATTCTACACTCTCGCTTTACATTCAGATGATATGGACAGAATTCAAGCTGTCTACTGCTGTGAAGTATCATAAAGAGGATTGCTTACAACAAATCAATGTAATTGACAATCTAACCCTGATGCTTATACTCAATAAATTGTAGTACAACTGTCATAGGGACAGCCAAATACATTCTGATTAGATCCATGGACAGAACCTATGTTTATGTATTTTTAAGCATGCCTGAAAAATCTGTGATTAGGATATTCTAAGCTATAACATGAAGGCTTTGTATGATGCTTTGTGAAGTAAAAGTACATTGGCTACAGGAAAAATTAAAGAATCATCTACACCTCAGGATTTGATCCTTACATTACTGATCTACTGTACCTGTGGAAACAAATGTAGAAACAACAAACTTTTTTATAGTCCCTGGATCCTGGCAAAAAATTATAAATGATAAACTGATTAGAATTCAGGTGTGTTCCTATGGTGTTGTGTTACAGTGTTCAGAAAAAGTGAAACAAGTATGTCACCCTAATCAAGACTCTGAAGAAATTTAAGTCTGGGGCATAGACGTTTTGCTAGAGCATGGGATTCATGGCAGCTTTTATTGAGCAGAGATGTACATTGTGAGTTGCAACTTAATTTGGGCCCTAGTTATAGTCTTGAAATAAGCTAAAAAGGACATATTGACCTCTTGAATCATCATGGTCATGAGATTATTAGCACAGTCTGAGGTTGAAGAGTCGTATGATCCTCACCTTTCTTCATGATGTTATTTTTTGCCTCCTAGCAGTGTGTGGCCTTGGGGATAGTTCCATGGCCTATATAAGAAGTGAAATATTTGCTGGAGGTAGAACTGCGTGAAGCAGCCAAGCCCTGCCAGGACTTTTCAGAGATGCCACCGTCATTCTCTCAACAATGTTCTTGTAAGTCACTCTTTCCTCATGTTCTTCTAAGTAAGCTAAGACAGTTCATTGATTTTTCAATATTCTTTAGACAATGTACATTTTTGGAGTCATTTTTGCTCTATATGCAGTGCACTGGTAGTTGTTCATGCCTGGTTGAGGTAGGTAAAATCAAACAAAGCTGAGAAGTACTTTCTAATCACAGCTCTAGAAAACAAATACACCATACACTCTTGGATCAAAAGTTCTTAAAAGGAGTCTTCAATCCATGAGATATGTAGAAATGCCTAGAGACATTGTGAATTTTCCTAATTTATCTAGATAGAAAAAAAAAAAAACCTCTAGCAGTATCTAGTGCTAAGATAGTGTTTTACTTACACAGCCTCAGATGACCTGAGCATGAAGTGGTCAATCTCAAAAAATTTAATTGCAAAAATTGAGACATGTGACTAAAATGAGATAAAAAGAGATTGCGTATTGAATTTGTACTAACTGTACAAGAAAAAATGCAGAATTTTCTGGTTTCTAGATCTCATCTGTGAGATACTTGACTTGAATGAACTTGACTTAGTACACAATAGTAGCAGATGAGTATCCATACAGATTTAGAGCTGTCATTGAAGCAAAATATGTTTCAAAAGAGGAAACTATGTAATATTTACCTTCTCTTCTTCATGAAAATTTTAGGCAAATGAATTGGTAACAAACATTAATTACATTTCAGATTAAAAAAAAAACAATACCATTAATTCCTCAAACTTAACTTAAACTGTGAACATCTTTCACATAATAAATGAAAGGACTGTACATGTGTACTTAATGTATACATATGTATCTGATGTTCATAAAATAAATTTGTGAGAGCAACATGATTTCTGAAAATTTAGTTGTACAACAAGAAATGGTCTTCCCAAAGAAGAACCCACCAATTTTTAGCCAACATTAATCATGAGCCATAAAAATATATTCATATAAATAAATTATACTGAATGATTTTTGTGTATGCGTATGCATATATGTGAGTATGTATGTATATACATGTAACAACTAAAGAAAAGTTCAAAAATTTGAGAGAGAAAGGCTCAGGAGCACATGGGATGTTTTGGAGCCAAGAAAGAAAAGAAGGAAATGATGTAATTATTGTAATTAAAAAATGTTTTAATTATCTGAATTATTTTCATTTTACTTCAAAATAGTTAATGGTTGTAATGTGTACTTCACAGTATTTTTAATTATTATTATTTATTACAATTTATTCACTTTGTATCCCAGCTGTGGCTCCTCCTTTGTCTCTTCCTAATCCCACCCTCCCTCTGTCTTCTCCCCTTATGCCTCTTCCCTAGTCCACTAATAGGGGTGGACTTCCTTCCCTTCTATCTTGACCCTAGCCTATCAAGTCTCATCAGAACTGGCTGCCTCAACTTCTTCTGTGGCCTGGCAAGGCTGCACCCGACATGGGGAGGTGATCAGAGAGCCTGCCACTAAGTTCATGTCAGAGACAGCCCCGGTACCCCTTAAATATTTGTAAATAGGTTTTTTTTTCTTATAAATAAATCTTTTCAGTATTCTAGTTTTACTTTAAACACCCACAATTGTATTTATGAAAGGCTCTGGACAAGAGGAGCCTTTTCAGATTTCTTCACTAAAAAAGCAAATAAATATTTCAATATCTACATGGTACTTCTTGGAAACATTAATTATTAATATGTTAGATTTCTTGTTTTGTCCACCTATAAAACATAGTTTGATGATGACACCAACACTGCTCATGGTCAAAAAGAAACTCATTTAGAATAAACTTTTTTATAGAGTAAGACAGGTAAATAAAATAAAGTATGGTCAAGTGCTCAAACATAAAGCTTGATGTCTACAAGTAACAAATTCTGCTAACACTGAGCACAAGACTATGGTTTTGTTCCCTGCAAACCGTTTATAACTGAGATCGCCTGCTGCACTAAACCACCATGCGTAATGCAAAGTACAGAATGTGTACAATCTGTTCGATGATGTCAAGTGATAGTAGGATATAGGGGAAAAAATCAATGAATCCTATCAACTTTTTCTCTCCAGAATACAGTTTTATGATATTACATGGGATAAGACTACACAGAGTGTTACTGAAAAGTTCAGCTGTATAGAAATGGCCAATGAATAGCATTATTACTGTAAGGTAATAAAGCCAACAAAGATGTTCCTTATCATAATGGGGCTCTCTTCATCCTCAGTGTTACACAACAGGCATTCATGTGTTTGCTTTTAGAGGCATGAAGATAAAATTAAAAGTACCATGCTATCCTTGTCAAAATGCACATGTTAAAACTGTTTGGAACACTCATTTTCTCTTCCTCATCTTCCACAATGATCTGTGAGTCTTAGGTGGTTTTTTTTTTTTTTGTTGTTGTTGTTGTTGTTTTTTAAGAAAAAAATGGGAGTTTGCTCTGAGACTATGTCTCCTAGGGCTATGAGAAGCTATACCTATAAAGTCTCACCAGCAGGATTGCTTAAACAAGAGGTGAATAAAGACAAAAACAGTAACATGCCAGCATGGATGAGGTAAATCCCAGAAGGCCTCAACCCTACACTAATAACTACACGAAACTAAGGCATGACAAGAGTGGAAAAAATAGTTTTTCTTAGGGAAAAGCACACAATTGTTTATCTAATTGCAAATGGTCTTCCCTAAAAATCTTACATAAAGGTAACATTATATAGGTTGTACTTACACATTTAAGAAGCTGAATGCATGTGTGTATATGTACATAACAACAATTAATGATAAAAAGAGGGCATGAATAGAAAAAAAAAACATCCATGAGAGGAATAAGAGAGTGTTTGATAGGAGGGAAGAGAAGGGGTAAATAATGTTAATATATTAATCCTAAAAATTAAAGAAAAAATGATATATTGGAGGAAGTGATAATTGAAAGCCAGCATAAATTCTTACAACATTGAACTTAAAGACAATTAATTTAACCTCCAATTGTATAAAAATTCCAGCATTATTTCTGATATCAGTCCCAAACTGTGGGAAGTCACTAAGTTCTAATGCCACACGCCTGTGAAAACATAAGTATTTAGTTACATTTTCACAGTGGAAGAAGATGCCTTCTTACTACCACTGCTACACAGTATCAAATCACACAGGGAAAGGCACTGGGCAGATGTGATAGAGTTGCTCTGAGAGCTTTGGAGGAATGATTCTGAATGGTCCTCATTTCTGTTAGCAGGGGCACTTCTGCTGCTGGTGTCCTGCCCCCTTTTATGGAAGAATGTAGCCTCTGTGCCTTTAAGTAGCAATGATACTGATGATTATCAAGAACTCCTCAACGAACTGTTTGATCATGCTCAGAATATGTCTCAGAATATTGGTGTCCTCAACTTGGAACTGCGCAGGGTTTATGTAAGTACTTCTCTTAGCTCTGGCTTATTTTGTAAAGCATCCTCCCTGTCAAAGATTGTCCTGTACCAGATTTATGTACATCATGAACCAAATTTCTAATCATGCATTTATCTAAAGTAGAGGAATTTGAACCCAACAACAACATGACTGTTTTGGCAAATGATCACTTCCAGGGACCAAGGGCTGTGTGATCTGGCTGGAATACAAATACATTCTTAGTAAACATCTTTAATCTCTCTGACTGGAATTTAGTACACAACTTTAACCCCAAATAATAAGAGATAATTGAGAGGCAGATAAAGTGAGGAATCAGAAAAAGAAGTGACAGTATGAGTCAGAGATAGTATATGCCCAACTCTCAGGAGAACAGAGAGAAAAGAGAAGCTGCTTAAGAACAACAGAGAAAGAGAGAGAAAAAGAAGGAGGGGAAAGGAGAGACAGAGAGAGAGAGAGAAAGAGTTTGTGGAGATAGTACATTAGAGATCATGAGTACAGTATAGTTCAGTGCAGTTCAGTTCATGCAGCTCAGTTCATGGAGTTTAGGGGCAGGTTCTTCAAGTAGATCATTCAGTGAGAAGCATAATGAAGCCAGTTTGAATCAGTCAGCTTGGAGAGGAGTTTAAGCCAGAACAGCTGAGTTGAATCAGCCATCCAGAGTTCATAAAGAAGTGGAAAGGGTGAGTTTATTTAGCAGTAAGTCTCAGAGGCTGAAAACACTCTAGACCTAGGTCATCAGACAGAGGCTGGAAATGGAAGCCTTCAATGTCTGGGCTTGCAGAAGTTTATAGTGTAGGGAGGCTAGAAGCTTTCAGGTCAAGGTCTAGGGATATTTAGATAGAAATGCTCTGGGCTCAGGCTAAGCCATGTATTATAAAGCTTGGGTATGGCTCTAATCTCATCTCCTTATCTGAGGAAATAAAAACAATATTTACACTAATAATTGAATAAAGCATCAGCTCTTGAAAAGTGAAGTAAAGAGAAAGGTGTAAGTTTCATGAAATATTAGAAAAATTTTGAAGTATTCAATGAACTTTGGAATTTTCTCCCACTTTTATTTAATTTTTTTTAAATTTTCATTCATGGCATAAAAGTCTAATAGACAAAGGGGGTAAGAGAGCTGACTTCCTTAACTTGTTTGCATCTCTGTCAGCACCTTTACTTACCCTGCAACAGAATATTCAATAGAGGAGGAGAAATATACTGCAGTTAGTCCTGTGGAATAAATGAAACTAATCTAAATTGTGATGTCATAGCAAGAAAAAAGTCCCTCCCCAAAACAAACAAACAAACAAACAAAATTCCCCCAAATATTAGCCTTTCAATGGTTTAAATTTTGAGAATTCTTGTTTAAAGAGGTACAATGTGTGAGTTTATTAAGTCTGGTCTAGAAGAAAGACAGGCTCTCTGGTTTTGAGGGCTGTTTGTTTTCTGTTTAATGTCATTCAACATCAATCAATGTCAAGGAGGAAACAGTATACAAGGCTTCTGTACAGAAATGGGCACCCAGAGAATATGTCTCTTTTTGAAATAAATATGCATTTATGTTCTCTTTTAACTCAGTAGCTTTTCTGTTCTTTTCCTCATCCTGTTTCAGACTGTCGGTGACTTCACTGAAAAATTGTACCACAGATATGTAAGTACCTCATTTCCTTCCATTTTTGTTTCCCTCAAACCTTCCAGGTTAATGACTTTGCTTGAACTTAGCATGGGAAACAATCAAATCCAAGTCTGAAGTAATACACTTCCTGGGTAAAAGATAGTTCCAACCACCAAAAGGCAGAATAAGAATGGGGCAGCATCATGAAATTTTTGGTTTTCAAGAACTACAACTAGAATGATTTTTAGGTCTTTCTCTTAAAAAAAATGTTGTTTACTTAAAAAAAAATCTTTGCCCTGGCAATGTGCTTTAATAGCTGTGGCCAGGGAATAAGTCTGATTCCATGTATTTGCTTCTACGCATCCAGTATCTCTTGACATTTTCACTTAGCACACTGGAGACATATAATGGAAAAGAAGCACATTGCAGTGAGTCACGATGAATAAAATGGATTTAAACTGTGATAATTCAGGGGTGGGGTGGAGCGTGCAAATAGAAACAACAACATATTAGCTTCTCAATAACCCCTAAATGCTAAACATTATATTTAAAAGTTTTGGATGCACACTTTTATTCACTGGGAAGGCTTGTTTAGAAAAGAAAACAGGCTCAGTGATCCTGACGGCAGTATGTTACCTGTTCAAGGACAGTTGGTGTCAAAAGGAGACAATTGACATTGGTTCATTATTGAAGTAGAAAGAATGTCTCTTTTTTGCAATAAATATGCATTTGTATTGTCTCTTTACTCACTATTTTTTTTGCCGTGTCACTCCTCCTGATTCAGCTAAGTTCATCATCAGAATCATATAACCAATTTGTAAGTACCACACTTATTTCTATTCTTTTCTTCCCAAAAGCTTTCATGCTAATGATATCACTTCAATTTATCAAAAGAAATTATCAAAGACCAATTTTCAAGTAAGACACATCCACAGGTGTATTATGATATTTCATTCTTATATTTATTATACAAGAAAACCTTTGGCAGTAAAAGAGAGAGAGAGAGAGAGGAGAGAGAGAGTAGGAAAGCTTGCAAAAGGTTTGTTAGATTTTCTATAAATTTATTTTTAATTAAAAACTATAATTGGGGACTATAAGGGTTACCTTTGTGGCTAAGGAAGTATGTTGATATCTGAATCCAACTTTTAAAAAACAAAAATATTGTCATCTTCCACTTAGTTCTCTAGAGAAATCCAAGAAAGCTCAAGTGCATCGTAGTCAGCTGGGTGTAGAAAATAGAAGCAATCCAAATGGAAACCATGACAAGAGGGAAGAAATACACTAATTTATTTTTAGGAACCCCTAATGCGAGAATTCCTTTTAGAACAGTGCAGTGCTGGAGTTCATTTAGTAGGGGGGATGGCAGACAAGTGAAAATAGGTTTTCTCCTCCTGATGACTGCATGCTATCTGTTGAAGTCAGTCAATATAAAGGAGAAAAAAAATAAGGCTTCAGTAAAACACTGGGCCTCAAGAGAACATGGCTCTGCATTTGGCATAGATGTATTATATTTTTTTCAAATTGGTTTCTCATTCCTCATTCTTTTCTGCCATCTTTGAAATTCTTAACATTCCTGGTAATCTATTAAACATTACATACTAGCTTATTATCAGTTTAAATAATAAGTATATAATAATAATTTATAGTATATTTTATATAGTATATAAAATAATTTATAGTATATTTGAAGTATAACATTTTAAAAACATATATTGGTCAATATGTAGACAGTAATATTATGTTACTTTTTAACTTCATTGCTTACTCTTTCCTAAAATGGTCAGTTTGTTATGTCTACTTTTGTCAAACTTGGCACAAATGCAGTCAGAATTTTTTTACTATCATTGAATGGTACAGGTGTAGGTGTTCACTTGTAACAGGAAGGAACCATACAATTTTATAATTCTTAAAGGTGGACATCAATTAGGATAAGTAAGAAAGAAGAAATTAATAAATATGGATACAATACACCATGACATTGGGCTCAGAGTCTAGAATACAGTCTCTAAGAAAATTTGTATTGTCTAGTTTTGTTATTTTTAAGGCTTGCCTTCAATATAGAAAGATATAGGGGAAAAAAGGAAAAAAATAAGAGAAAAGTAAATAGGAAAAGGATTGGGAGTGGACATTTATATGACAAATAAAATGAGATTACAGACCCAGTAAAGAAGAAAAGAAGCAAAATGTTTATGTTGTCTTTAATTTTTAGATGTCATGAAGACTTTATTTTTACAAAGCACACATCTATTGAGTATATTAATATTTTGGTTTTAATATTATTGCCTTATATATCCAGAATCCAGTTAACCTGAATATTAATTTTGATATATGCAGGTAAATGAGTTTATTGAGGATCAGGAGTTTATGATGAAGACTCTCACCTGCTGCCACAAATATTCCATGAAAACTCCAGAAAACATAGATGAAGCTCAAGAGATTTCTGTGAGTCTTTAGTTGTTTTTATTTTACATAAATAGCTGAAGCAGTAGACTAACTTTGATTTGCCATGCTGCAGGCTTTTTTTTTAAGTATTATACAAGATGTGGAAATCATACATACAGGAAAATGATGTGAGAAGGAAAAAGGAAAAGTCATGCTACATACATGTGAAAAATAAGCAAATGTTCAGTAATATTATAACAGGTCCTTAAATTATCTGTTAAGAGGGTTTTAGTTTAAGAGGATATCTTACTAATAGACTTCACTTAATAAATGCAAACATAGTTGTGTTCCGTATATGTTACCAGTGAAAGTCTCCTCAGTGGCAATATCACTTTATTGACCATCATGCTCAGGTTTTTTTATTCTCTTTTATTTTTCCCAGTGTACTCATGACACTAATTCTTTTTGTATTTTTATTTTATTTTTTTATAATTTATTCACTTTATATCCCTATTGTAGCTCCCTCCCTTGTCTCCTCCCAGTCCCATCCTCCCTCCCACTTCCATGCTATTCCCCTCCCCTAGTCTTCAGAAAAGGGGAACACTCCATTGCTACCATCTGACCCCAGCCTATCAAAACTCATTAGGACTGCCTGCATCCTCTTCCTCTGTGGTCTGGCAAGGCCCTCCCACCAGGGAGAAGTGATCCAAAAGCTGGCCACAGGGGGCAGTCAGAGAAAGCCCTTATTAGGGAATCCACATGGAGACTGATGCCTATGGGCTACAGATAAGCAAGGGATTTAGGTTGTCTCCTTTCATGGTCCTTAGTTGGTGCATCAGTCTCTGCAGGCTCCCTGGGCCCAGATGTGTTGGCTTTGTTGGTCTTATGGATTCCCTGTCCAGTCTGGCTCCTTCTATTCCCCTACACTTTCCTACAACTCTCTGCACTCTTCTCAAAGTTTGGCTATGAGTCTTAGTATCTGCTTTGATTCCCTGTAGAGTACTGCCTTTCAGAGGACATCTATGGTAGGCTTCTGCTCTGTTCCCTATCTTTAGCCACTTGCAGTGTCTATTTTATTTGCTTTTCTGAATGAGAATTAAACATGGTTCTTAGAATCCTCTTTGTTAAATAACTTCTTTAGGTCTGTGGATTGTAGTTCGGTTATCCTGTAATATACTGCTATTATCTGCTTATAAGTGAGTATATACCACACATGTTTTTCTGGTTCTGGGTTACCTGACGCAGTATGATCTTTTCTATTTCCATTTATTTACCTGGAAATTTCATGATTTCTTTATTTTTAATACCCGGGCAGTATTCCACTGTGTAAATGTATGACAATTTCTGTGTCTCTTCTTTGGTTGAGAGACATCTACGTTGTTTCCAGATCCTGGCCAGTACAAATGAAGATGTTAGGAACATAGTTGAGCAAATACCCTTGTGATATGGTTGAGCATATTTTGGATATATGCCCAGGAGTGGCATAGCTGGGTCTTGAGGTAGCGCTATTCCCAGTTTTGTGAGAAAATGCCAGATTGATTTCCAAAGTGGCTGTACAAGTTTACATTCCCACCAGCAATGGAGGAGGGTTCCCATTTCTATACATCCTCTCCAGCATTTGTTGTTCTTGGATTCAGTTTGTATTTATTCAGTAAGTATTTTATTGAGTATTTTTACATCATTGTTCATAAGGGAAATTGGTCTTAAATTCTTTCTTTGTTGGGTCTTTCTGGGTTTAGGTATCATGGTCACTGTGACCTCAGAATGAATTCAGTAATGTTGCTTCTGATTCTATTTTGTGGAATGGATTGAGAAGAGTTGGTATTGGTTTTTCTTGAAAGTCTGATAGAAATCTGTGCTAAAACCATAAGGTCCAGGTTTCTTTTTTGTTGGGAGAATTTTGATAATTGTTTCTATTTCCCTAGGGGATACATGACTATTTAATTTTTTTTTACCTGATTTTGAGTTAACTTTCATAAGTGGATTCTATAAAAAAGTAGTCCATTTCATTGAGATTTTCAAATTTTGTGGCATATGGGCTTGTGAAGTAAGGCCTAATTAATGTTTGGATTTCCTTGGTGTCTGTTGTTTTATCTCCCTTTTCATTTCTGATTTTGTTGGTTTGGATAGTATCTGTCTTTTAGTTTGTTTGGCTAAAGGTTTGTCTATCTTGTTGATTTATTTTTCAAAGAACCACCTCTTGGTTTCATTGATTCTTTGAATTGTTCTCTTTGTTTCTAATTTATTGATTTGAGCCCTGATTTTGATTATTTCCAGCTGTCTATTCCTCTTGGATGTGTGTGCTTCTTTTTTTCCCTAGGGCTATCAGGTCTGCCATTATGCTGCTTGTATGGGATGTCTCAATTTCTTTATGAAGGCACTTACTACTATGAATTTTCCTCTTATCACTGCTTTCATTGTGTCCCATAAATTTGGATATGTGTGCCTTCATTTTCATTGAATTTTAGGGAGTCCTTAATTTATTTCTTTACTTCTTCTCTGACCCAGATGTTATTGAGTAGGGAGTTGTCCAGTTTCCAGTGTTTAGGCTTTTTTGTTATTTCTGTTGTTGTTAAGGTCCAGCTTTAGTCCATGATTGTCCGATATGATACAAGGGGTTACTACAATCTTTTTTTTTTTTTTTTGTATCTGTTGAGGCTTGCTTTGTGACTATTTGGTCATTTTGGGGAAAGATTCCATGAGATTCTGAGAAGAAGGTATATTCTTTTGCATCTGGGTCAAATTTCTGTAGATGTCTATTAGGTTCATTTGATTCATGACATCTATGATTGTCATTATTTTTCTGTTTAGCTTCTGTTTCGTTGGCTAGTCCTTTGATTAGAATGGGATGTTGAAGTCTCCTACTGTTAATGTGTGGGGATTGATGTGTGGTTTAAGCTTTATTAATGTTTCTTTAACAAATGTGGGTATCCCTTGTATTTGGGGCATAGGTGTTCAGAATTGAGACGTCATCTTTGTGGAATTTTCTTTTGATGAGTATGAAGTGTCCTTCCTCATCTCTTCTGATTAACTTGGTTAACAGTCTATTTTATTAGATATTAGAGTGTCTACTCCTGCTTGTTCCTTGGTTCTGTTTTCTTGGTAAAACTTCTTCCAGCCCTTTACTCTCAGGTAATGTCTATCTTTGTTGCTGAAGTGTGTTTCTTGTATGCAGAAGAATGTTGGGTCCTGTTTTTTAATCCACTCTGTTGGTCTGTGTCTGTTTATTGGAGAGTTGAGTCCACTGATGTTGAGATTAATGGACAGTGACTGTTAGTTCCTTTTATCTTGAAGTTGGTTGTGATAGTATATTTGTGTGCTCGTCTGCTTTTAGTTTTGCCGTAATGAAGTTATTTATTTCCTGAATTTTTCTGGGTATAGTTAGCCATCTTGGGTTGGATTTTTCCTTCTAGTGTATTTTGTAGGCTTGGATTTGTGGATAGGTACTGTTTAAATTTGTTTTTGTTGTGTAATATTTTGTTTTCTCTATCTATGATGATTGAGTTTTGCTGGATATAGTAGTCAAGGCTGACATCTGTGTTCTATTATGGATCATGACATTTGTCCAGGCCCTTCTGCACTTTCATAGTCTCTTTTGAGAAGTCAGGTGTGATTCTATAGGTTTGCCATCATACATCACCATGGGTCTTCTTTGGATTGGGAGATCCAGATTTTGGTGTTTTGGGACACAGTACAGTTTGAGATGACAAGCACAGCACATAGGCTTGTGGCTATGCACTTGATACACTGCACCTACTGGAACCCAGGAACTTTTCCAGGGATTATCTCACTGACCTGAAGTCACACACAATTGTTTCCTTCACCTTTGAGTCTCTTTATAACTGGGAAACCCAGACTCTCATGTTTTGGGACCCACAGTTCAGTCTGGGACAGTGTTCAGGGCTGTTGGGTGACAGACGCCACGAGCCTAAGGGAACCCAGGAAATTTCCCAGAAATTAGCTGTGTGACCTGAGGTTAGACCTGATTGTTTACCTCACTGTAAGGTTTACTTTCACCTGAGAAACACAGTCACTAGTGTTTGATGCCCACCAACAATTTGGTCTGTTGGGTGCTCTGCAGTTACTGTTTTCCTGCTGATCAGACACAGTGTGCCATTGGCACCACCATCTTGGATCTCTCCAGTTTTCTTTATTTTCAAGACTCTGATTCCACTTCTGCTTCTTACTTGTCTATTCATTTCTCCATGACTTCTATGCTTTCTTCTATGTTTTAACTGAAATCACCTGAAGAAGGATGTGCTACTAATACCATGTAATGCTCCTCACAATGAGCAATTCCTTCAGCTGTAATAAGGTCTGCATGTCACCGTGGCTCTAATTTATAACTGTTAGGATATTCCCTTATAAGTCCTTTCTAAAAGCTGTCACCAAATGAGTTGATTTAAGCAACTTGTGAAAATGAGACAATAAAGAGGAATAAAATGTTTCTAGATATGTACTATATGACTAGGTACTTTATAAAATGCTTTATTGACACTGCTGCAATTACAATTCCCAAAAGCTAGGAGGGGTAAAGAGACTGAGCTGTTGGAAAGTTTTATGGAACTTGGACTCAGCCTTATCCATAAGAATGGGTGTCTGGGCTACAACCAACCAAGAAAGAACATTGCCTACACCTTTGGATTGTCTCCTTTCTTCATGCATTTTTCCTATTTCCATAACAATGTCCAGTGGATTTCTCTCTACTTTTTAATGTCATTATAATAGCTAAATATATCAGCATGTGAAGTTTCATGTAAGATCCTGAAACATACTAGAAAGCCAAACTTCCATTGTTCTTTCTATTCATGCTGTTATTAAAGATAATGGCATTCCATTGTTCCATTGTTCTTCTCTTATGTTTCCCAACAAATGAGAGGGAGTGCTCTAGACTGAGGAAGCTATATTTATTAATATCAGGTTGTTTTAATGATATAGTTTTATTATTATCATAAAATAACCCCAAAAGAAATTATTGTGAACATTGTGATTTATTTATTTGATAAATGATTCTCAGTTAAATGTTTTGACATATACACTGGGAGCATTTACTTTTCCTGAATCAAAACACCTACTAAGACCCAGTTAATTACTGTGTTCCCCTGGATAAACAAAATAATGAGATGTTTATGAACTTATGGAAAAACTAGGCAGCAGAATTTCATATAGAAAGCAAAAAAAAATCAATTAAATGGGTAGTTGAAATAATAGTTTTCTACATAATGGTTTTATGATATCAAACTACAGGTAAGTCATTTTTACTTTATTAGTTTATATTATTTTCATTCACCAAACCATTCTACTTTACCATATAAATAACAAATGGATATTTAATGCAGCCTATCTCAGAGAAAACCAAAACTAACTAATCCCTTCTTATTTCCTTTATCTTAATGTAATTGATGAAACATGGGTACTTAGCTTGATTACTTTCCAAAACTGATACTCAGTAGACTTCAAGCTTGGAATGAGACTCTGCAGAAGCTACAGACCATTCTCGGGAGTACTCCAGATATACCTAATGGTGCACTGTCTTTGGCCAAAGACATTAAGGGGAAAATGTCAGAGCTTTTTGAGGACAGCAAGAATATACTCAGCTCGGTGAGTACTGCTCTTACATCTTACTCTTCTCCTTCATGAATGATCAGACTTTGGTGGCAGATTTTAAAATCTGAAACACCTCACTTTAAAGAATGAATTTTGGTACCAAATCTTGTAAACATTCTAAGAAGTAATGGATAGAGATTAAAGTGTAACATTTCAAAATATTTTGAAGAATACCTGTTGCTCTGGGCAGAGTAAAATATTCCTGACTACTTCATTAGAAACCTTTATCAAAATAACCCATAGCCAATCAATATTTATTATTAAGACCAAACACAGGTCTATGCTCAAGTATCAAATCCTGCTATTCCATCTTCAGAGTCATTAAAAAAAGTCAAATTTCATTCAAATTCAATTAAGTATGAAAAAATGTCTACAGGGGTCTTGCTTTTACTTGTTGATGGCTGACAGATTTATGATATCATGTGCTAGACTTGTGAAAATTCAAGACTGTGATCAATGATTCATATTGTTTTATTTTTATTTGTTATAACAGATTTTATTTTCTTACTTTATATTTCAAATAGTTTTTATCCAATATATTTTGATCATATTCTTTTCCTTCTGCAGTTCCTCCAGATTCTACCTTTGGGTACACAACTCTTTCTCTCTCTCCTTTTCTCTCTCCCTCATAAAACAAGAAAAACAACATAAAGGAAAAAAAAATGAAAACCAAAACAGATAA